TTGGTTAGCTTTGAAATTGGTTAACTTTGAAATTGGTTAGCTTTGAAATTGGTTAGCTTTGAAATTGGTTAGCTTTGAAATTGGTTAGCTTTGAAATTGGTTAGCTTTGAAATTGGTTACTTTGAATTGTTACTTGAAATGGTTAGCTTTGAAATTGTACTGTTTAGCTTTGAAATTGGTTAGCTTTGAAATTGGTTAGCTTTGAAATTGGTTAGCTTGAAATTGGTTCTTGATTGTTAGCCTTGAAATTGGTTAGCCTTGAAATTGGTTAGCTTGAAATTGGTTAGCTTTGAAATTGGTTAGCTTTGAAATTGGTTAGCTTTGAAATTGGTTAGCCTTGAAATTGGTTAGCTTTGAAATTGGTTAGCCTTGAAATTGGTTAACTTTGAAATTGGTTAGCCTTGAAATTGGTTAACTTTGAAATTGGTTAGCTTTGAAATTGGTTAACTTTGAAATTGGTTAGCTTTGAAATTGGTTAGCTTTGAAATTGATTAGCTTTGAAATTGGTTAGCTTTGAAAATATCCACGCTGAGTAAGGTTTTTTTCTGTTGCTGATAGCGTCATTTCCATCCTGTTTGTTTAGAAGTGGGATGATTTCTTCAAGTAAATATATACAACTGACTACATTTTTTAAAGGGGTGGACCGGTAAGCCAGCGGAAGGCCTTGGTCAGATGACTAAAAGCTCCAACGGCGGGTCATCATCTAAGACCCGAGTCAGGAAACACTTGTCCTGTTTCCTAACGAACCTTACCTAACCTAACCTCTATGTCAGTCCTCGACAAAGGATCAGCAGGTACTGGAGCCAACTATCCTGTTGCCTGTAATGATCCCTTACTAGTAGTGGGATGCTTCTCTTACTGTCACCAGGCTTTGTAACTAGCACCGGATGTCTATCAGCATCCACCTGGGCTAATGTAAATACCGCGTGGGATGTACTTGCAGGTTTACGTTTCGTTTCGTGAATTTCGTGAAGACTTTCACTTGGTTATTAACGTCTTTCAGGAAAAGAACATTCCATTTCGACGTAGCAAGTTTGAGCGAAGGGTCGGCCAGTTTCCTTTCTTTCACACCTAGCATGAGTTAAACTGGAGTTTACCTGGAGATGGTTTCGGGGGTCAACGCCCCCGCAGCTCGATCTGAGACCAGGCCTCATGGTGGATCAAGGTTTGATCAACCAAGCTGTTACTGCTGATTGCACGCAAGCTGACGTACGAACCAGCCCGGCTGGTCAGGTACTGACGTTAGGTGCCTGTCCAGTGCCTTCTTTGAGACAACCAGGGGTCTATTGGTAATCCCCCTTACGTATGCTGGAGGCAGTGAACAGTCTTGGGCCCCGGACACATACTGTGTTGTCTCTCAATGTACTCGTGGCGCCCCTGCTTTTCATCGGGGGAATGTTACATCTCCTGCCGAGTCGTTTGCTTTCATAGGGAGTGATTTTTCCTGTGCAAGTTCGGTACCAATTAGTCCATGATTCTTCAAGTTCTATTGCATTCATTACTCTCAAGACAACTTTGTGAGCAGATACTATGACATGACCAAGAGTTGCATCTCAACAGTACTCTTTGAGTGTCACTTACAGGTCTAAAGTGAGTCAGATATAACAGTAATAAGAGAGAGAGAAAGATAGGCAGACAGAGTAAATGTACACGTGAAACTAAGGTTACAGAAAGCAGACTTTTCTGTGCTGCTGGCGGAACGAGACTAACTGGGCACTCTTCTGTGTTGTGGGGAATTTTGACAGGATAACGGATGTCACTGGCTGTTGTGTGGCCTGTGACTAATTGAATCCAACGAACACAAAACGTTTCTTTAGCTCGATGTTAAAGAACTGAATTGTTTTACCACTAACAACTGGATGGGATTATTCCAGTACTCTGTAACCTCTTCCTGAGAGAAGCCTTTACCACACTCTTCTTAATCTTAAAATAAATACGCTTGACTATGGCACACTATTAGTACTGTGGCATAGCGATACAAATCGGCACTAAATCGATGCTTTCGTTACCTCTTGTTTTTCAAATGATTATTACCATGACCCCCTCAGCATTATTTTGGGAATATGATTTACTAAAATCCTGTGATGACTGTCATATTAAATGTAACATTTTTCCTAAGTCTGTCATTAAGTTGGATTTACCATGATGCGGGCATTTTTACCTTTTCAATCCATGTGGGATTAAAATGCAACAGAAGATACGATTTCTTGGGATTTTTAAACCCGGAGGGTTAGCCACACCGGATAACCCAAGAATGTCAGTGCGTCATGGAGGACTATCTGTCTTATTTCCGTTGTGATCTTCAATCTTGTCCACCAGGATGCCACCCACACCAGTCGACTAACACCCAGGTACCTATTTGCTGCTAGGTGAACAGGACAACAGGTGTTAGGAAACGCGTAGAAATGTTCCCACCCCACCGGGAATCGAACCCGGGCTCTCCCTGTGTGAAGCGAGAGCTTTAGCCACCATTGACATTGCTAGACGAAGATACACTTACCTTGAAGCGGTCATCAGTTGTGTACGTGAAGATCCCGACGGTCAGGATGTGTAGGTCTCTCTGCCTGATCCACGACACCTGTGGACACATTCGTGTGAGCATCCTAAGCATTGTGTACATTCGTGTGAGCATCCTAAGCATTGTGTACATTCGTGTGAGCATCCTAAGCATTGTGTACATTCGTGTGAGCATCCTAAGCATTGTGTACATTCGTGTGAGCATCCTAAACATTCTGCACATTCTTGTGAGCATCCTAAACATTGTGTGCATTCGTGTGAGCATCCTAAACATTGTGTACATTCGTGTGAGCATCCTAAACATTGTGTACATTCGTGTGAGCATCCTAAACATTGTGTACATTCGTGTGAGCATCCTAAACATTATGTACATTCGTGTGAGCATCCTAAACATTGTGTACATTCGTGTGAGCATCCTAAACATTATGTACATTCGTGTGAGCATCTTAAGCATTGTGTACATTCGTGTGAGCATCCTAAACATTCTGCACATTCGTGTGAGCATCCTAAACACTGTGTGCATTCGTGTGAGCATCCTAAACATTGTGTACATTCGTGTGAGCATCCTAAACATTGTGTACATTCGTGTGAGCATCCTAAACATTGTGTACATTCGTGTGAGCATCCTAAACATTATGTACATTCGTGTGAGCATCTTAAGCATTGTGTACATTCGTGTGAGCATCCTAAACATTCTGCACATTCGTGTGAGCATCCTAAACATTATGTGCATTCGTGTGAGCATCCTAAACATTGTGTGCATTCGTGTGAGCATCCTAAACATTGTGTACATTCGTGTGAGCATCCTAAACATTGTGTACATTCGTGTGAGCATCCTAAACATTGTGTGCATTCGTGTGAGCATCCTAAACATTGTGTACATTCGTGTGAGCATCCTAAACATTGTGTACATTCGTGTGAGCATCCTAAACATTGTGTACATTCGTGTGAGCATCCTAAACATTATGTACATTCTTGTGAGCATCCTAAACATTGTGTACATTCGTGTGAGCATCCAAAACATTGTGTACATTCATGTGAGCATCCAAAATATTGTGTACATTCGTGTGAGCATCCAAAACATTATGTACATTCGTGTGAGCATCCAAAACATTGTGTACATTCGTGTGAGCATCCTGAACATTGTGTAAATTCGTGTGAGCATCCAAAACATTGTGTACATTCGTGTGAGCATCCAAAACATTGTGTACATTCGTGTGAGCATCCAAAACATTGTGTACATTCGTGTGAGCATCCTAAACATTGTGTACATTCGTGTGAGCATCCAAAACATTGTGTACATTCGTGTGAGCATCCAAAACATTGTGTACATTCGTGTGAACATCCAAAACAATGTGTACATTCGCGTGAACATCCTGAACATTGTGTACATTCGTGTGAGCATCCAAAACATTGTGTACATTCGTGTGAGCATCCTGAACATTGTGTACATTCGTGTGACCATCTTAAACATTGTGTACATTCGTGTGAGCATCCTAAACATTGTGTACATTCGTGTGAGCATCCTAAACATTGTGTACATTCGTGTGAGCATCTTAAACATTGTGTACATTCGTGTGAGCTTCCTGAACATTGTGTTCATTCGTGTGAGCATCTTAAACATTGTGTACATTCGTGTGAGCATCCTGAACATTGTGTACATTCGTGTGAGCATCCTGAACATTGTGTACATTCGTGTGAGCTTCCTGAACATTGTGTTCATTCGTGTGAGCATCCTGAACATTGTGTACATTCGTGTGAGCATCCTGAACATTGTGTACATTCGTGTGAGCATCCTGAACATTGTGTACATTCGTGTGAGCATCCTAAACATTGTGTACATTCGTGTGAGCATCCTAAACATTGTGTACATTCGTGTGAGCATCCTAAACATTGTGTACATTCTTGTGAGCATCCTAAACATTGTGTACGTTCGTGTGAGCATCCTAAACATTACATTCTTGTGAGCATCCTAAACATTGTGTATATTCGTGTGAGCATCCTAAACATTGTGTACATTCGTATGAGCATCCTAAACATTGTGTACATTCGTGTGAGCATCCAAAACAATGTGTACATATCTTCTCAGCCATCTCACTGACACTTTCTCCACCAATCACTGCCCATAAATTCGTAAAAAAAAGCCTGATATAATTTATTTTTCTTTATAAATTTTAAAGTTATTGTCAATATCTGGCCCCACAAGGGAGGTTAATTGATGCTGATGAGGGGCACGTGATCTAGGGAATTGGATCTGTGCTCTAGTTCCCTATATTGAGCCTGAACACTTTCCATCCACCCCCCTTACATGCGCTGCATAATCCTACGGGTTTCGCGCTCCCCATGATTATAACAATATGGCGAAGAAGATACCGATAATGCAATCATAAATATTTTTTTACCCAGGAAGATATTTTCTAAAATTAAAAATATACCAAACACTAAAAGAACCAAATATCTGGTATTATATAACGCCTGACATCTGCTCCTTATTTACATTCCTATCAAGCATCGCTTCAGAGCTTCTTACAGCTTAACATAAATTTGCTTAGGATTACGACCCTTCTAAAGTATTTCATCAGATACGAGTATCTATAATATATATATATATATATATATATATATATATATATATATATATATATATATTATATATATATATATATATATATATATATATATGCAAAACAACCACTCTGAAAGAATAGAGAAATTCCAAGCGCTTTCGTGACTACTCACATTATCAAGGAACTATGAAAATAAAGCATCCAAGGAAGCTATATAAGGGGTCTGGCCAGCACCTCACTATCAGATCCCACAACGGTGCTGGCCGGACCCCTTATATAGCTTCCTTGGATGCTTTACTTTCATAGTTCCTTGATAATGTGAGTAGTCACGAAAGCGCTTGGAATTTCTCTATTCTTTCAGAGTGGTTGTTTTGCATATTTTGAAATCACCTGTTTACTGTGATCTTATTGCATATATATATATATATATATATATATATATATATATATATATATATATATATATATATATATATATATATATATATATTACATAATATGGTACAGAAGATTTAAGAGATACATTGTTGATATAAAGGTGGCATATACGGTACATGTTGTTACGTGTGTATCACCGATTATAAGGCGAAAATCTCATCCAGCTCCTCAGAGCTGGGGCGTGTGCCCAAAATACAGCAGGCATTACCCCTTTGAACAGCCGCACTGAGTGTTTGTAATGAAACCACGAAACAAGTGGTATTGAATCATTTACCAAACTGCGGCTGGCCGAGATTCGATCCCACAGGACAATGTACGTGTTTCCCTAACCACTCAACTATCGATCCTGCAAGACTCTCGGCCAGCCGCACTTTTGTAAATGATTCAATACCATACACTGGCCCAGCCCATAACACTCGTCCACGTCACACTGGCCCAGCCCGTCACACTGGTCTACATCACACTGGCTCAGCCCGTCACATTAGCACCTGTCCAACCCATTTCTGAAACTACCTTAATTTAGTCTGAATGATACTTAATGACAATGTTTGACCTTTAAACCCTCATGACAGGTTGGGATGACAGACGTGTTTTCACTAACGAATTGTGTTACTGTCTATCACCTGGATAGCATGTCAGTTCAACAGTACCGAATAATTATCTAGGTTAACTTTAGCTCCTAGAATAGGTTATAAGGGTTATTGATACCATTCCCTTGGAAAGCTTTGAAAAAATGGTTAGACAAAAGTCTGAGTAAGAAATATGTAATATTAAAAGCATCTGTTCACCATTTACACAGACAAACAGAAGAGCATGTGTTATGTATGCTAATTAACAGCTTCAGAAATGGGTTAGGAAGGTGCTAGTGTGACGGACTCGGCCAGTGTGACGTGGATCAGTGTGACGTGGATCAGTGTGACGTAGATCAGTGTGACGTACATCATTGTGACGTGGATCAGTGTGACGTGAATCAGTGTACCTCTCAGTGTTTCTCCCTGTGTATGACTCGCTGTAATCAATGATCTTCCCGTGACAGTAGCTACAGTCACCTGCCTGCTTACCATTATGCTTTCTCCCGCTAAATTAGTGAACATCTATATCGTTGAGAGAGAGAGAGAGAGAGGAGAGAGAGAGAGAGAATGAGAGAATGAGAATGAATGAATGAATATCAAATAACTTAATTTCTCTGGGAAGATAATGTCATTATTCATCGTGTGTTGTTAGTTACTGGTTGTCAAGGGTACTTGTCGATAGTGTGTGTTCCATTATTTATGTATTGAATATTAGCATAAAAAAGGGTACAACCTGGACTTTTAAAAGAGAACCTTGGTTAGTGTAGCATTATTTAAATTACATATTACGCAAATTAACAGTATTTTGTAAGACATTTTGTACACCTCGTTCATCAAAGTTCATAAATTTACTTAGTCTTAATTAACGTCAAGTATTACTTAATAAATGGCCTGCAGTTGCAAAATGTAGTCTGATAGATAAAAGAAAAAAGGAAAATTTTGGTAATTTAGCGACGGGTCATTTATGATGCGGCTGTGTACTCGCTTATTCTAATTCTAAATAAAAATTTCTACCATGGGTAGTAATCTATTTAGGAATATTTAATTCACATGCAACCGTAGGTTTAAGAGACAAACACTCAAAGTTAACGAAACCTAAACCATAAACCCATTTCCATAGTTTATATTATAAACCAGAAAGACATTCCATAAAAATTTTGGATTTTACTGGATCAGAGGGAATCTCAGTTTAGTGTATATTATTATTATACAATCCCTGCAGGTGGGGTCCTCATGGCATCAGAGTAACACACGTACAATATAAATTTTCATTAATAAAAATATACATTTTTGGTTGAGGCAAGCCGTGTTGGGTCGAGTAAAAACATTCATGAAAATACAGTCTTGGAAAAGCCGCAGGCTGGGAAATTTGTGTGTGGAAAATCACTTTGAGGAAACGCACAAAGCCGAGCTACAGATGAATATATGAGACAGATGGTATATTGGACATGAAATATGGGTGGGATCAAATACATAGATGTCGAAGAAAATGAAGCAGGAATACAGTTTTGACAGGAATGTTTGACAGGAAGAAATACATAGTAGGTATAAAGAAAGTTTAAGAGAATGTTTTAGAGCGAGCACCAGCTAGAGAGAGTGAGGGATGGTGGGAGGGTCAGAGGAAATGGGAGAGAGAGAGAGAGAGAGAGAGAGAGAGAGAGAGAGAGAGAGAGAGAGAGAGAGAAAACCAGACAGACACATGATAGACTAACAGATAAGACATAGAACTTTTTGGACTTCATATTCCTTGCTTACATCCTAGGATGCTCTTAGAGCAACCTAGGATATTAACGTGTATTGTGGAATTCTTGATGAGACCTCAAAGAATCACTGTGAACGATGAAGCATCAGGTTAGACAAGCGGATACAGAAGAGTTGCTTCAGAATCTGTGTTTGTGTCGTACTATCCTTCCAGTACAGAAATTCCCTGGTTACGAGACTTAAATCCTGTGAATCCTTGTTTACAGACGACGACATACTATAGAGGAGACTCTTGCTTGAGCCTTGGAAACTGTGCTTGAAACACTGCCTACAGCCTCTTGGCACAAGCCTCACTGGTAACTCTTACCTCAATCCCGTGGAGTCACCGACAACAAATCTTAACGTATTATTCACCTCAGATGTTGGCTAAATGGTGAGTGTTTACGGTAAAGGCCATCACCATATTACCTTCTACTGTATGGATCCAGACTGGAAGTTGAGCGAAGACGATGTTTACGAGGAGGCATTAACTCGAAGCGTATACACATAGAGCAAGTGTAATTTAAAGTCTCAGTGTTGTTATTGATTAAATACCACTCTTTCGTGGTTACAATAATGTATATACTGCTTATTGAGGCTAGTACACCAAACGGGGAGTAGAATGAAATTAGCTCTGAGGCACCCACACCATTTTATGTCCTCAGATCACGGTAAAACACCTAGCTCTGCTGGGTGCGTAATCTTTGTAGGATTGGGTGGTCCCGTGGGTTAGAGCGTCGTGAATTTTCTCACTCCATGGGGTGGGTTAAAACGACACGGGTTAGAGTCCTCGGCTAGTCGCATTTCTGTTGAGATATATATAATATATATATATATATATATTATATATATATATATATATATATATATATAATATATAGTGTGTATGAATCTTTTATCCGAGGTGTACAATTCAATTCTTTACATGTAATAATATATAATGTTAAGATTAGTTTTACGTACACGCGAAATTACCTGTGGCCAGTACGAAGCAAAGAACTAGATCAAGTGATTGCTAAACCTCAGCATGAAAGATTACTGCATATATGGGATACCATTAGTTAGTTTAATATGTTTATTATGCACCTCATACCCATCCTGTGGGCAGTAGTCAAAAAATTACAGAGGTACATAATTGGTCCAGGGACTGGACTCCAAAGTTTGATAGCTGAGCAAGTTACAGAGGTAATGAACTCACAATTTACAAAGGTAATGAACTCACAATTTACTAAGGTAATGAACTCACAATTTACTAAGGTAATGAACTCACAATTTACTAAGGTAATGATGTTAGGAATTTCTTTCATTAATCCAATCAGTACTTACGTCCTTAAGGCCCAAGTTCTTCACTTGGCATGGAAGGCGAGCACGGTGTCCCTGAACAGCAGTAACATTGGTAGGCAGGTTCCCGAAGACTGCTGAGTTGTGAGTGTTGCTGCGACCCCAGGTGATACTGTGTTGCGGACCACCCCGGTCATAGCGCCCTGCAAAAACCGGTTTCCAGAATCACTCGCTTAGTCAGGGTGATCTACCCCGAGAAGAAAGGGAGGAATTAGCTGTAATATTATCGAAAAAGAAGTGCTAAATCTACAAGGGTCATACAGCAAGGCAGGGAAAGGTGCAGGGGAACTGGAGTACAGCGGGGCAGTGGATAGTGCAGGGGTAGAGGGTAGCAAGAGATTTAGGTAGAAAGGGCTGTGAGGAGTGCTAGAGACATGAGAGTTTGTGCAGTAAATTAGCTGCTGTCAAAAAGTCAACTAGAGAGTCAGGGTTAAAGGAGGAACCATCAGCAAGAAGCGAAGGTAAAGGGCAGGGCAGTAGAGCAGTGACGACGTTGGAGGTAAATTCTGTGTGCTCGTTGATTGAGTGGGCAGTCCAACGGAACATTGCCCTGTACATAAACATGACCAGGGACCCAACAAAAAACAATACCTTTGTGCTTGCTAGAGATACGGTGTAACCAAAGATGGATAAGAAGAACACGGGGATAAGGTGTATCAAATTTTCGTTTAGCCTGTAAAGCACTGAGTGAATCTGAAACGATCACAAATGGTGACACAGGCATAGATGCAATACGGATAAGTGCTACGAAAATGGCATACAATTCAGCCGTAAAAATGCTAGCCGAGGATAATAAATGCCCTCGCACGACACTGTCAGGAAACACTGATACGAATCCGACGCTGTCAGAAGACTTGGAACCATCGGTGTACACTGCGATGGCATGAGAATGAGATCGGAAGTGGCTAAGAAAAAGAAAGCGAGAAGCCACCGTAGGCAGTTGGGCTTTCGCGCATGGCAGTGGGAAAGAACAGACACGAACCGTCGGAACTTCCCAAGGGGGTAGAGAAAAGTTAGATGCTACATGAACATAGAAAGATGGGAACTGAAGAGAAGACAAGAGCAAATGTAGGCGAAGAGAAAAGGGACGGAGTAAACAGGGGCAACGAACAAATAAAGAATGTCTACTAACATCAGTGACTATGCTATATGTGGAAGGATTGCAGAGATCATGAGAGCAAACATAATAGCGAGGGCAATGAACATCACTGCGATCGGAAAAGGATAGAATATTCGCCTCTGCATAGAGGCTCTCAACCGGTGAAGAGCGAAAAGCACCGAGGCATAAACGTAATCCCTGGTGATGGATGGGATTAAGGCTAGAGTTGTAGGAGAGGCCGCTGAATATATCTGGTTGCCATAATCGAGTTTCGATCAAATTTGGGCTGAATGCAGTTGAAGGAGAGTTCTACGATCAGTCCCCCATGAAAGACGAGAGAGGGTTTTAAGGAGGTTCAGCCGGCTATGACAAGTTGCCTTCAGAGAGATAATGTGAGGTTTCCAGGATAACCTACGGTCAAACAGAAGGCTGAGAAACCTGACAATATTACGTTCTGGGATAAACGAGCCCTAGAGGTACAATGGATGATCAGAGACGACAGAACGTCTAGTGAAAGTAAATTGGTGAGATTTAAACCCATGGGTGGTGGCCCAATTGGAAACATGGTTGACCGCATGCTGGAGAGAAACTGCAGTGAGGTGACAGCGTCATCAACATAGTGATGACCAAATATTAGACGGAAGAAGAGAGGCCAGGTCATTTATAGCAAGGGAAAAAAGTGTTGTGCTCAGAACACATCCCTGGGGGATACCTTCATTTGGACAAAGTCCAGGGAATGTATATCATTAATCCGAACACGGAAATGTCTTTCAGTTAAGAAGTTCTTAAGGAAAAATGGTACATTGCCTGGGAGGCCTAAAGAGTGGGCCTGGGCCAAGATATTATACTTCCATGTTGTGTCATAAGCCCTTTCAAGATCAAAAAAACATTGTAATAACTGAGTGGCTATCAGCAAAGGCATTACGAACATATGTATCCAAGTGAAGCAAGGGGTCAGTAGTAGAATGACCCTTATGAAAGGCATATTGTCTAGTGGAGAGACTGTTGTGTCTCTCTAAATGCCACATCAAACGTCTATTTATCAGACGTTCCATCACCTTGCAAACTGCACTGGTAAGAGCAATGGGACGATAGTGGGAGGCATCATGTCCTGTAGTACCCGGTTTGTGGAAAGGGAGAACAATGGCAGATTTCCACAGCTGTGGAAGAACTCCTTGTGACGAAAGAGGATTAAAGACTCGTAAGAGGACAGCAAGGGCTGACTGATGTAAATGCTGCAGCATACGAATACGAATGCAGTCAGGCCTAGCTGCCGATGATCGGCAAGCAGAGCGCGTTGCCTCCAGTTCTAGAAGTGTAAAAGACACATTATAAGATTATTCGCTGCAGACTTGGAGGAAAGAAACGGGGGGCATAGAGAGAGCCCCCTGAGAGATACGGACAAGATGATTACCAATTTTGGCAGCAACGTCAAGAGGATTTGCTATAGTGACACCGGCAACCCGAAGAATGGAAGCCGGGTCGGGAAAGTATTTACCACTCAGAGGTCGGTCTTGTCTAACTAATTTATTAACTTTCTTCAGTAAAGCTTTTGAGGCTGTTGACCACGATAAAGAATTTGATATTGTTTACTTAGATTTTAGTAAGGCATTTGATAGAGTTCCGCACCAGAGACTGTTGAAGAAAGTAGAAGCTCATGGCATTGGGGGAAGGGTGCTCTCGTGGATCGAATCATGGCTCACAGACAGGAAGCAAAGAGTGTCCATAAATGGGGTTAAATCCGAGTGGGGATCAGTAACAAGTGGCGTTCCACAGGGATCAGTCTTGGGCCCGTTGTTGTTTATAATATATATCAATGATCTTGATGAAGGAATTACTAGTGATATGAGCAAATTCGCCGATGACACGAAGATAGGTAGGATAATTGATTCAAACGTAGATGTTAGGGAACTTCAGGAGGATTTAGACAAACTCTACTCTTGGTCAGAAAAGTGGCAGATGCAGTACAATGTAGATAAATGCAAGGTTCTGAAGCTCGGGAGTGTCCATAACCCTAGCACTTATAAGTTAAATAATGTAGAACTTAGCCATACAGATTGCGAAAAGGACTTGGGGGTTATGGTAAGCAGCAACCTTAAACCAAGACAGCAATGCCTAAGCGTACGTAATAAGGCAAATAGATTATTGGGATTTATATCAAGAAGTGTAAGCAACAGAAGTCCAGAGGTCATAATGCAGCTTTATACATCATTAGTAAGGCCTCACCTAGATTATGCAGCTCAATTCTGGTCTCCATATTACAGAATGGACATAAATTCGTTAGAAAACATTCAGTGTAGGATGACTAACTTAATACATAGCATTAGAAATCTTCCTTATGAAGAAAGATTGAAGACTCTTAAGTTACATTCACTTGTTAGACGAAGAATGAGGGGAGACCTGATCGAAGTGTATAACATAAGAACATATAAGAACATAAGAACGAAGGAACACTGCAGAAGGCCTACTGGCCCATGCAAGGCAGGTCCAAGTCTCCTACCGGCTTAAGCCAATGCACCCAACCTAGTCAGGTCAGGTCACATTGACTTAAGGGAGGAACACGGCAACCGACCTGGTAGCACAAGCTATCAGGTCTAACTCACACCCACCCACATCTACTCATGTATTTATCCAACCTATTTTTAAAGCTACACAACGTTCTGGCCTCTATAACGGTATTTGGGAGTTTGTTCCACTCATCCACAACTCTATTACCAAACCAGTACTTTCCTATATCCTTCCTGAATCTGAATTTTTCCGACTTAAAACCATTGCTGCGAGTCCTGTCTAGGCTAGATATTTTCAGCACACTATTTACATCCCCTTTATTTATTCCTGTCTTCCATTTATACACCTCAATCATATCCCCCCTAATTCTACGTCTTTCTAGAGAGTGCAGTTTCAGGGCCCTTAGTCTATCCTCATAGGGAAGGTTTCTGATACATGGGATCAACTTTGTCATCCTCCTTTGTACATTTTCCAGAGAATTTATATCCATCCTGTAATACGGTGACCAAAACTGTGCAGCATAATCTAAATGAGGCCTAACCAAGGATGTATAGAGTTGAAGAACAACCTGAGGACTCCTATTATTTATGCTTCTTGATATGAAGCCATGGATTCTATTAGCTTTATTGCGAACACTTATGCACTGTTGTCTTGGTTTCAGATTACTGCTAACCAGAACTCCTAAATCTTTTTCGCAATCCGTAATATTAAGATCTACATTATTTAGTTTATATGTGGCATGGTTATTGTCCTGTCCAACATTTAGAACTTTGCATTTGTCTATATTAAACTGCATCTGCCACTTCTCCGACCACTGCATCAGTCTATTCAAATCTTCCTGGAGTGCTCGAATGTCCTCGTCAGAATGAATTCGACGGCCTATTGTGGTGTCATCGGCAAACTTGCCGATGTCGCTCTTTATGCCCTCATCTATGTCGTTTATGTAGATTGTGAACAGCAGGGGGCCCAACACTGACCCCTGTGGAACACCGCTCGTGACGCTTCCCCACTCTGATTTCTCCCCATTTATGCAAACTCTCTGCTGCCTATTTGTCAACCATGCCTCTATCCAGGAAAAAATTTCTCCTCCTATTCCATGTGCTTTAATTTTCCTCAATAGTCTCTGATGTGGGACCCTGTCAAAAGCCTTACTGAAGTCCATATACACAATATCATATTCATTACCATGATCTACCTCCTCAAATACCTTAGTGAAAAAAGTTAATAAATTCGTAAGGCAGGAACGCCCCTTTGTAAAACCATGCTGAGATTCGTTGATTAATTTATGCTTTTCAAGGTGGCTACGAACTGCCTCGGCAATTATTGATTCCATAAATTTTCCCACTATGGAGGTTAGGCTTATTGGTCTATAGTTCGAAGCTAAGGACCTGTCACCTGTTTTGAAAATAGGTATCACATTTGCCATTTTCCACTTATCTGGCACCATGCCAGTTTGTAGTGATATGTTGAAAAGATTAGCCAAAGGTGTGCTAAGCTCCTCTTTACATTCCTTTAGAACCCTTGCATACAGTTCAT